TGTGTCTTCATGCTACGAATATTTGCAGTTAAGTGACGCTTGAGGCCGGAAAGATCGGTAACCTCCAAACGCTGCATGCATTTGGTTACCATGCCACATTCATCAAAAGTACGCAGTGATTATCCGTGATAGCCGTGCAGTGATTACTAGCGTTACTAAAAAGGACGTGTTCCTATTACTTCCCTTCAAGGGCAATGTTCCCTTTGACCTGCTGAGCAGATGAATTTCCACTGTAGTGGCTCGAACTTTCCTGGCCGACTACAAACACGTCGTTACAGAAACCGCTCAAGTTACGGCCCAACGTCTCAAAGGCAGTCTTCCGGTTCAGTCCCAATCCTACATTCTTTATCAGTTTACCTGCACCTGTGGTGTGATACATTGGACACACAACAGGCGTTTGTCTAAACGCATAGCGGAGCACTGCCCAGCGACCCTGCGGTAAGTCAACAGTTGTACCAAGAGTTCTATCCTGGAACACCTGTTCCAAATTGGACACGAAATTAGGACTGCTGATGCCTTCAAAATACTTTATGCTGTGCCAAAACTGTACTCCAAAGGACTTAGGGGAAACAGGTCTTACGAACGGCCGAAGTGATCGCAATCAGGACAAGCTAACCGGAACTATGCAAACTCAGGGCTTTGTTGCAAGGATTTCTTCTGTCTTGGCTGACACTTCTTTTGCTGACAGTGATCGAGTGATGTGTTTGGCAGTCCACCAATCAACCAACACGTGCTCTTTCACCTGAAAGTATCGGCGAATTTATCGATCAAGGCATTCGAGTTTCTGACTGTTGTGAATCCACCAATCCCCTTTTATTACTTCATCGATTGTTTGTGCTCTAACATACTATTTTATAATTCTAAACTCTGAATAGTCCTATCCAAATGATTATTCTGTGATGGCTTTCCTGGTTCTCACATTTTTCGATCCGAACACTCCAAGCGCTTTGACAAGCTATGTATCAGCTGTCCAATATTGTCGCGTATGGTCTGGCTAACATCAGGTCATCTAGTTCCGTTTCCCACATCAGACGGAATAACTTCCGATTGTTACCAAGGGCGGCGGCTGTCTTCATATCTTGGCACGATGAGACCACCAGATTTCGCCGTCTCTCTTCAGAGTAGTACGCAATTTCGCCCTGAGATCTTTGTCAGTCTCATTCTTTTCGCTTCCAGTCGGAACGTGTCGGCGAACATTCAGAATTCGCAGGGACTGTGTAGACCTAATATCCAGGTTGGCCGTTTGATTTGCCACATGAAGACATGCCTGCTGATGGTAACTTCTGACCTATTTGCGACCAGTGATGTTTAACGGTTTTCAGTGAGCGCTTACTCGTTTCAGTTGTCATCCCCTTTGATACAGATTCAGTGAATCCGACTTCGTCAGTTGGCCAGATATCTCTGCACTCACAGCGTCGTTGCGGACGTCAGCCGAAACGCACCCGCAGTCGGCGCAAACAAGTGCATGACCGGTGTTCACGCTCGTGCTCCAAATCCAGTGACAGTTTTGGACACAACTTCTGCAGCGGCAACTGATTGTGATATAATCGATAATCGTCCATAGCTGTTTTGAGGCAAGTTGGCCAGACGTCATCCTTCTGCGTGTGTTGTGTTGGAAGTTAGTCCTCATGAGAAGTAGACGGGCATATTCATACAAGTGTATTAACCACTCACCGTTATCATTAATATGTTTGCCGCCCAGATGAAACTCATCAGTAGATGGTTTTCTAAATTGGGCGTCCAAATCACCAGCGAGCACCACAGCATCGAAGGTACGCGTTCATAGGTGATGGAAGTCGTCCTTCACTTAGTTAGTGCTACAATTGGTGGGCGCGTAGGCCGCAACAATAAACAGTCGACTTCGATATTTTGAACGAGCCAGCCAATCTGATAGCACACTTTCCGCAGATCATTGGGATCCAACCGGTCAGGGCAGCTTCGGCGAGGGAGCTCAAAGCAATACCCACACCGTTTTGACTGGCATTTGAGGCTCCATCATCTCCGGACAAGCGTAATGAAAAAGAAACACACATTGGGGATCGCAGGGTAATCGCAGAACTTGTATCTTGCAGGTGGGTTTCCTATGAGCAACAAATGTCGGTCGATGATGCAAAGCACAGCTCGAAATGATTTACATCCAGTGTTAATTTGTCCACTAATGCTGGCACATTTTGGATCTGATATAGATAAAGCCAGTGCCCTTGGCGTACTCTAAGTCAAGGACTTGATCATTGTGAAGCAGCTGTATGCTTTTCAATTGCGTCTAACGAACGCAGTTCCCATGACGTCGTCGACTGCGTAGTTAATAAGTAGAGGTGGCAGCTAACAACCTTGTTTCAGACGGCTAGAGATATTGGAGAGTGGCGAGATTTCGCTATCAGCACTCACTGCGCCAGAACTGCGCGCGTACAGCGCTGTTATGACAGCACCTCAACACTTGCCTTTTGATGTTCTGCAAGGGAACTCTCCATGACGAATTTCTTGACGAAGATGAACAAAATGGTGAAATTGGACAGCCCTAACGAAAGTTATTTTTTCCAAAGGATATCCGGCAAGTCACGGTGGACCCTGAAGAGACCTATGGTGTTCGTGTTCTCAAATATCATGGGAACATTTTCCCGCGCAAATATTTCGAACAAACAGAATCGATCGACTGAGTCGAACGCACTCTTGCAGTTGGCCTACTGTAAGTGTGATGCTGCTCTTGTAACTGCTGCCGAGCGAATACACGGTTTATACTTCCTCTCTTGAATGAAAACCTACTTGTTCATCCTACCTTCGGGATTACCGTTCTGTAGTGAGGCGACGAACAAAAGAGTCACTTACAACCCACTCTTGCGAAAGCTTGAAAATTATGGTGTTAGAAAAGATCTTCTACCTCGAAGAATAGGGAACAATTTGTCGAAACCGGTAACGGCTTGTCCGTAACTAAACAAGCAATCTGGATAGAAGAGCGAATGCCTACAGAGTTGAAGGATGCTATTGTACTTTAACTTAACCATTAACTAGCGTCATAATCAACAGACAGACGTAATGCCCTAAAGTATGCCTGCAATGTTCTGGTCACCTGACTGTTGCGAATACCGATATCACTGCGTACAGTCCTGAAATTGACTTTCTCTTTCAGATGAATCCTTCAAATTTCCGGAACAAATATATTGGTGAAATGTTTATCCTAAGGATTCTAGTATTACACATAAGCATGGTTTAGATATTGCCCAGTTTTATACCAGATATCCTTCTGTTAGCAAAACCTTCGAAGATCCTTACAAAGTCGTTTTTAAATCTGCGTACAAACATTAATTAAAGCGATTACTGCAAGGCATTGAACTTATGGCCGCTACAGCGGAGTAGCAACTACTTTTGCCACGTGGGAGGATGACCAAATTTTCGTCCTGATGGAGCGCAGAATAGGCGCGTGAAGGCCACACAATCAGCACATTAGTTTTCGATGAAATGGATGATCGTTTGGCACAGTAAGGAAAATGTGGTGAAAGTGACCATAATGGGACAAGGGACAAGGGAATTGCCGGAAGAACGTTTGCGCATGTGTGACACATGGTGTAAAGGGGTTGTTGGCCCTATAGAGTAACATTAAGATAATCAACTGCCAGCTTATCTGGATATTTTGCAGTTTATATTCGATATCGAACGGTCAACGGTACTAAAAATGCCACCCACTGTCACATGCCGCCCGGGGGCGAACACCCCCGCCCCATGCTACGCCTCTGGTCCGCTATGTCTGTGCAGACTAAAGCTGAAAGTGATTATATTTTATTGCTTGTGTTTCAATTCGATTTTCAATGTGTAGTCAGTGTCACAATTCCGGAGTACTATGCGTTGTGCAAAACAACAACTGCGCATTCCAAAAACTTGGGTCAAACTCTGCAAAAACCTCCATACTAGTAATTTTGCATTATTCGCGAATAAGCGGCTCACATAAATCAAAAACAGCGATACGCTACGTCAGAATGATTTGGAATACTGGTAGCTTGGGTCGACGATTTAGTTGTTCAGTTCTTTGCCGAGCTTGACGATTTGGTTGCAGACGTTTCATCACCAATCAAGTTGACATCATCTGTGCGGAGTTGGATGTAGCTTGGTCGCGAAAGCTCTTACCACATAAATCCAGGAATGCATGAGCAACAAAAACCTGGATATTATCAACATCTCTGATATTTGCCGTATAAGTACCCATTGTGCTCTATTTGTAAAAGCTTATGAGATACTGTATGACGTGATGATCTAAAGCACGCTAATCATAATGGACTTAAAAGTTCTTTTATGAAGATTTATCTCTCTCCACTGTATTTGCCATTCAGATTATACTCAAATACACCCACAAATTTTTAATAAACAAGACCACGCAATTAGTAAGGCTTTTTAATAATATAGCAACAAAATCCTTTTTAAATGTATTCACTTCTCTTATATTATGCAAACGAGTTTACATTGACAGTCGCCTCGGCGCATCGTACAGTTAACTTTGCATTTATACACAATAAGTACAGAAAACTGGATTCACCCAGTGATATATTCGCATCTGTTAAGCAAATTTTCCTACACGGTAACCCATTTTCTTCCCAACCATTGTGCATACGTTCAAGTATGCGTCACTTGAAAAGGCCCTGGCCTAAAGTCTTAGTCGCTTCCAATATTCTACCTTCGATATCCAGTGTATCAAGCGCACAGTCTGTAACGTGCATGGAACTTACAAGTGTCAACGTGCAAACTTCAGTCAAGCCTGATCTGTCCTGTTGTGGGAACAACTCGAGAACTCGAGAAATACACGTATTGCTAATGGTACATACCGCTTTTCTACAAGGATTCTCTTGTTTATTTCATTGTTATTACTTGCCTATGCTACATGTTTGGCTATATTTATTTGCATCTCACAGAAAGTGGAAATGAACCAAGAAAACCGAAATGACGGATATCAACAATCTTCATCAGATCCTTATGTTACGCTCGGTTTTTAAATATTATATCAGTCAACCAACCCGTACGAACTCGCACCGGTACGTGCTTGCAAGATGTCTTTCACCTTCTGGTGGTTTATATTCCTTTGTGGGTGCACGCTCAGGATAATATGGACCCCAGTCTTTGTAGTCTGTACGATTCGTCGTCACTTTGCTCATGGGTCCTGTGTTTCTGATGCTGGAGCTTGCGGGGATCACTGGTTGAGAAGGGCCTGAAACAAAGAGGGTTTTGATGGTCAAGAGTACGTTCTTTGTTACCTTACCACGTTTCACAAAAGACTGGTCATATATGTGTGCTGCTGCAAATGATAAGTTATTTTACTTTAGTAATATTACGTACTTCCCATGGACTACACCAGCCGAATGTCCTCGAATTCATTTCAGACTCCACGAAATCATCGGCTGTTTCCATATTCGTGGATACAGCTGTCATTCCCTGCATTCCATTGGACAGTTACACATAAGGGGAGTGTTTACAATGATATTAAAACTTGCTTACATGAAATGTTTGCCTTAAATGCACTAAGATCTGCGCAACTTGCTTCATCCGAGTACTTGATGCCATTAGGGAAAGCTCATAAACGCAGAAAAGCATCAGTTAACGGCATGGGCAACACTAATTCGGCGGTTGACCGTATTCCCAATATAGTGATTGTACTCCATCATGGCTGAATTAATATATACAAGACCTTGAGTAGTTTTCAAAACCGAATTCCGTCAAACAGTCACCACCATCCGGAATGTGTAGGCTTTGCCGTTTCGTTCAGTTGGTTCTCATCGCCAAAACGCCTTGTTTGTGAATTATCAAGCTAAACGGTATCAGCGATATAATAGCAACCCACACTGATTATTCGTTGCTATACACCCTTAAGGGCTTGTATGTGAATTGAAAAGCTAAGAACGCAAGCAAATCTATATACGGATGGGAGTGCGGAATCGGAGGTCAGAGGTTGTGAGGCAGATGCCAAGGACAATGCACCACGGAAGTGCACTTAACGCCTCGAACTAAGGCCATGGGTTCGGATACTAGATTCAATGGGAAACGGCAAAGCTGATGAGTCCCAATTGAACGTATGGACCATCTGCCGCTTTTTCGGATGATTACGAATACAAGGCTGAGTCCGTAGGTGGCAAAATTGTTTGAAATTCCTTCCAGTACCCATTGCTTACTGTAAATTCCGGAGCTTATATTCCTGGTTTGAGTCCTGGTAGCAACTCCATAAGTTCATTGCCTGCCTTTGAGTATTATGTCGCGCTGAATGCCTACTGAAAGTAGCCGATTAGACAACGTTGATTTCAATTGCACCTATTAGAACACTACCCAATAACTCTTTCATCTCTTTCTCATGTCACACAGACAAAATTCAATTATCTTATCTGCATAAAAACAACGTCAAGAAAATTAGCAACACAACATACAAAAGGGAATACTCAAGCTGCGCTTCGTGCTCTTGTAGCGCTTTGTTAAGTAATGCTGATTAGTCGAGGGATGAGTCAACTGAACTATGCTACCTACATCTGTCATTATTATCAACTAGTGGAACAAATGGGAGCTGGCGGCGACAGTGTTTAGAATGCTGCGTTTCTTATATATATATTAGAATCCTTACTTCATATTATTTTATGCATGCTCATTGCTTTGATCTGTCGATAGTAATGTCCGGCAGTACAATGCTACTTTATCCAGACAACGGAAATGCGAGATGCATCTTCTCAACGATTGATTTATATACCAACTCTGAATTGTTGGAAGACGTGTTCTTTCGGATGATTATTTGCGATGATACTTGATATTTAAACTTATAAATCAACCGAGTTCTCAATAAACTGTACCAGTGCTTCCATATACCCTAAGGAGAGCAGTAAAATTTCAACGGTAATTTGACCAACGCACACCCAACCTCACTGAATCCAGTTGCCATGCAATGAGTTCTCATGTATCAATTTCCCTGGCATGCGCATTCATAGCATACTTACAGTACTCCTTCGGTGTGTAGTCTTTGCGGTTGGTAGTGAGGGCATCTAATGGTGCCTTAGCTTTGGCATACGTCTTCGGTTTTACTGGAGCTGGCGGTTCGATTTCATGTGTAATATATTCCGTTCGATAGATCGTGTCACCCTTGAAGGGCTCATAAATTTGTCGGGTCTCTGGCGGCTTGTAGGTTATCGGTTTCTGCATGCATTTCGGCCCGTATTCAGTACGGTATGTTGCTTGTGCGTCAAATTTCGGAAGTTCTGCCCGACGCTGCTCGGGTTTTCTGGGTGTGGCCGGTCTTACTTGCCAAGGTTTGTAGTCCACTGCAAACGAAACAACGGTGGTAGGTGAACTTGTGACTCATTACTATTGTGAAGATAACCGTTTGTGGGAAACATCACAATGCAATCAGTACGTAAGTAGTAAGGATAACAATATGAATTTCGGGCCACGGTCAATACTCAAATAAATAAAGATGCGTTCCACAACATTACCATTATTATTACCTTATTTACTTCTATGGGTAAACTCCACCGGGTAAGCGAAATATTCTGCTGTCCGGTGTTGTTTAACCAGCTAATTTTAATTCCCCCAGTCTCTGGCTGAAAGCGGTGGGATCCCCACCGACAGACATCTTTCCGCGCTCAAGACACTTGAACAAGTTATAGCACTGCATGAATGTCATACAATTCTCCCCGTATGTCTTGCTAACAACTGAAATCTCTCCGTAAACCTTTTACTAGATCCTAGCAAAATGTTTCACACACATTGTTCTTCAAGGTCTTCCAATGTTAATTTGACACTAATCTGAAAAGCAGTTTGGGTAAATGCTGTACTTCATCAACTAACATCGACAGGAAAGCGCGACAAATGTAAGTTAGTTTTGTCTAAACATGCATCTACGTGCGCTAAGTAGCCGCAGCTAGCTAACTCTGTCGGTTGACTCGCTTTTCAAAAGTTCGCTTTAATTTTGCACTCTGCAGTGTAACAGTGGATGCAAATTCATCAAGGAATGAGTTAACTTAAGACAATCATACGCTGTCCAGATGTACAATCATCGGCCAAATTTTGCAGAATATAGGAAACCATTGTCGTCGATAGAGAACAAATACCGCCGTGCGTGCAGAAACAGTTGATTGGAAATCTTAACTTCCCATTATACAGGAATGCATACCGATTGACCATCGATTTGCTGTCTATCTCATATGACAGCGTTTTGTATATCTGTCACTGGCGAATATTTGTAATTGATCGCACTCACTCTGAACACATGAATAGGTTCCTTTACCTGGAGAGCTGTGTTTCTATCGGTGACACCATTGGAAAACAGACTTCTCTTCACATTGCGAAAGCGTAATCAGCGTTCGATACTCTGAAATATTTGTGGCGTCATCGTGACGTTTCAGTCTCGACAAAGAGCACGTCCTAAAATGCTTGTGTTCGCGCAGTGCTTTTGTAAACAAATGAGTTCTGGTCAATCCGCGCGAATGTGGTTCGTCGGATTTCAGCATATGAAATTGTTTGTCGTTGACGCTAGCTCCACAACATTTGCAATGAAGATGCGAGATATCGCCACTTAGTTACCACTTGTTCTGCACATGAAAAGATGGTGTGCTCACGTCAATTGGGATAACTGTGTCACAGCCTGCGCACGCCTTGCGAGCGAATTCAACGCCAATTTTTATTCACTCACACAGGACCGAACTGTACGAAATTGCTCCGTCCTCAGCCTACCTTATGACTGCGAACAGTCAAAGCGCCTATCAGTACACTTTAGCGTACAGTAAGAAACACGTCTCAGCTAATGTGCCGTAATATAAAAAAGCGAAAGTACTGAACCAAACGTTAAAAGAATTTAAAATCAAGTGAGATAAGGTTAAAAGGTACATTACTTTGCTATGAGATCGTGATTGGAGGGTGAAACTAAAGGGGAGAGGGATGGATAAAGAAACACGGCATAAACACCATTGAGGTCCGATCCTAACCAAGTTCCTTGTTCAGAGTAAATCAGTGAAAATTAAAAATCACTAGACGATCGGACATAGAACCTATTTAGTTAATAGGAGGAAAAGATGCAACCGCAGCATTTGTCCTGGTAAAACCCAACGCTCGACAAGTATTGGAACGAAAACGCATTTTAAACTCTAACTTGCAGTTGACGCTGATTTAAGAAATTCCTGATCCACCCAAAGACAGATACCCCGATGACGTAGCTTGATTACGTGTATAGGGTTGGGTCACATGTATTGCAAATAACTTCCCAATAAAGCGAACTTGATGTGCTCAATCAAAGTGACCTTAACCGTTCAAAGAAGTCAGAGGCAGCTGCGAAGAGAGCCAACCAGCATGTCACCTTGCTGCCCAGAGCATTCGGAAAATTCGACCCATCCATCTTCCCCATGATGCACAAATCCTATGTGCGCCCTCCCGTTGAATCCGCCATCCACGTTTGCCAACCTTGGTTGAAGCGCGACTTAGAAGTTCTAAAGAAATTACAAAGCATGCCACAAATAATGTCAAGGGCCTACGAAATCAGTCCTACCATCAAAGGCTGATGTCACTGGGAGTTTTCACTGACCCCTGCCGAGGGCTGCGCGTCAATCTCATATTTATCTACCAAATATTGAGTGATCCTAATCGCGTATGCCGTCACTTGCAGAAACAGCCATAACACCAATCTCAGAAATGACCCACTGAAATTGTGTGCATAGTATAGCTGCCTGGAATGACGGCGGAATTATTTTTCGTTTCGGGTTTGCTGTCTCACAAACTTAGTTGTTTCCTCTCCACCCTTGATATTTTCAAAATACGATTGGATCTTGCCCTTGGCCCCCACCACTTCGTTGCCTAAACTGTGCAACTTTGAAATAGATTGACTAACCTCCCAAACCGGATAAGCCTGTTACATACACCGGAGGATGTGGAACAGAAGTGAGTATTCTCGTTTTTACTCTTCTCACAGAGTACAACAACTATAACTGTCCCATGTTGCCTTGTCGTTCGCATTGAATTCCCACTTCGCTACTATTATTTAGCGGCGTATTTGCTAGATAAACGCTCAAACAAACAACGCACATATTTTTGATAATTGCACGTTTAGCATCACCAACCTGTGGGACTTGTCAAGTAACTGCTTTTTTACCCCGTATAACTCATTGTTCATTGTCTCTGGGCGAGGGTTGACCTCTGTGTAACTGCATACTTGCGCGTTACTTCTTTAACCGATTAGAACTTGGTTTGTGAAGTGAAAAGCCTACATCACTCGGTTCGGAATTTGTATTTTAGGTCAAAAATCAACCATTCCCACAGTCAACCTAATTAATTTACTTGATCGAAAGGTCCGCGAAACGGTGCAGCACCGCTTGAATACCGCTTTGATTGTTTAGATGATCCACCGTTTGACCCAATGGCATTCGTAAATAAATGGGGTACAATTTACGTGGTTATATGGTAGTAATCACGTTTTACATAGACGGTTGTGTCTGCCTCCTTATCTGATATAAAGTAACTCATCAGCCGTAGTCGTCCAGATGACTAGGTTTTACTATGAGCCCATACCGTGGACAAGATGATCGCGTTTCATCATAATCTATCAGCGCTTGAATCATGGTGCTATTTGTGGCAGATGTTATTTCCTGTCATACAAATACGAAAGATCACCAAACAGCGGCATAATGTAAAGCACACATGTCTCTCAACGCATAGTAGTATGCGACTTTGATGTGAAACCTTCCCTTACTTCAACTTTTATGACGCTTCTCAAAACGGCTTTCAAATTGGCCTGTGTTTTTCTCATTAAGAAATCCGTTATTATACATACTGTGGATTAAGAGAAGTCCTAAAACATTTGTGCCATATTGTTATCTAGATAATAATCTAACCTCGATATTATCTTGTTCCGGTAACATTTTGAAAGCTATCTGTTTGTACCGTCGTATGTCAGGTTGTTTGAACCTCCTCCGTGAACTCGGGCCCTTTCTGGCGTCGTGACCACAACTACGGACGCATGCTCCTACGCTCGGTTGCTCGTAGTTATTCGACCACTTTCCGATGTCTACTTGTCAGCAGACTCTGGATACGTTTTTCGTCGAGATTCGTCGTTACTAGGCGGTCCTACAGCCGCCTACACACAAGCTTTGCCTTCCATTGCAGATCTTTCGCTCTATCGCGATCTACATCTGGTGACGAATACGGAAGAACCTATCACCCCGAAACAAACGGATTTCACATGTTTGGCGACTGTGCCAGTAGACCCGATGTGCGCACTCATATAAAAGATCATGCACAAGGCGATCGAAAGCTGTTTAAGGCAGCGAAACGCCAAACCAGCGGTCCATCTACCTGTGACCAATGCGTAACAACGAGCCCCGCTGGATTCACTTTGTTTGATCTATGCATGCAAATGCTTACTATCGCTGTTCCGAATTCAAGTTTGCCAGAGAATTTCGGTCCTGGAGTCGATTATGACTACTGGGAGCGGAAAGCGTGATGAGAAGCATGCCGGTTTCCGGACCATGAAGAAACACCAGCACTGCTCAGTCTCCTGAGCCCCGAGGCGTATGGCACAGTCGCCGCTGTCGCTACTGTTGTTAATATGGTCGGTGAAAATACTTTCACCCAACTTAAGGCAGCTGTACTGCCCCGCTGCATGAGTGGGAGTATGGACGGCGGTTTCACCAACGAACACAGGAGGTGGGGGAAGCATTGCCTATATTAGTGGTGGCGTTGCACAAACTCGCAATTACCGCATACCCCAAAGACAGCTAAGCAGATCGTGCGCAGAAAGTCCTCACAGAAGATCTGCAGGGGATGACAGACCCTGATGTCTGTCGTGAATTTCTGGAGAGACCAGCTAGATTGTAAGAAGTACTGCGCTTGGCGGGGCACGGACAACAAATACGCGAAGTATTGGCTCGTGACTGTTAGTAGGAACGGGAGTATGCCCCCGGATATGCACATGTCTAGCAGAACATACCCCCAGAATCCAACCGCCGGCCAAAAGTGGCGACGCTAGCAAGCAAGCGGCCTTCAACCGCTCAGCTTCTTACCCGGTCCCGCCAAAATTGCCCTTATTGTATAAGGTTTGGAGCGGCAGTATACTCCTGGGGCCATAAGCAAACTAGCATGTCCAAAACGTGCTAAATACCAATGCCTGCTATTTTTCGATCTGATGAGGCGGATACTTCTACCGTAATTGGGCGAGTGTGGAATAATGATGTTGAAATGTTAGTAGATACCGGGATCGCCTGCTCTACAGTGCATAGGTGCATGTTACCGCGGAACGTCAAGCTTCATCACGATACGTCGATCTATTTGGTGGTGG